CATACAGAGTTTGAATTTAGAAGTAAGAGGTTACATTCCACTGGCTCTTTGACATGTTGTGGGGATTCCTGTGGTTTGGTTTTCTTTAAAGCCCCAAGGGATCAACCTGCTTGATGCCATTTATTCACCAGAACTACAGGTACTTGGAGGGATCCAGGACCTGTGCTCAGGTTGGAAAGGAGGAAAGAACAGGGGAAGCAAACAACTGTCACCATTTTGTAAAGCTGCCAACAAGATGAAGCCTGCCTTGAAGCCCGGAGCCTCACTGATGCCTGGTTTTTATATTTCAGGAATTGCAGTGGATAAATATGGTCTCATGTATTTTGTTGATGCCACTATGATTAGAAAAGTGGATCAGAATGGAATTATATCAACCCTGCTGGGCTCCAATGACCTAACTGCTGTTCGACCACTCAGCTGTGATTCCAGCATGGATGTCTCCCAGGTATCTTAGTGCATTTATTTTCTTCTCTGCCTTAGAAGAGATGGGCATCTATTTTGGATGACTGCCTGGCCACTTAAGAAATACATTATGCAGCACAAGATGGTAGTATTTTTGATTCATTACTGAAATGAGTGAACCATCCTTTTACTGTGGCTAACACAGGTTATTTATGCAACTGTAGTGAGATAAGGTTGAGATAATGGGAGTTATTGTCTTAATTGCTGTTTTTCTGTAATTATTGTAGAGCTTCCACAATGTAGCATTCATTCTTTGCACAGAAACACAATTAGCCAAAGTTACCACTGCACGTAGCTTTAATATTGCTGAAAAACAAAAGCATTGTTTGAAATAGTTGCCGTTCATGACTTGGTTTCATGATTACGCTGATAAACCCCTCACTAATTTGCTGTTGTTACACATGGAATTTTAAACACTAGAAGTGTACTTTTCAGTTATGAGTTTTACAGTAATAATTTGTGCAACTCATAGGTACGGCTGGAGTGGCCTACTGATCTCGCTGTCAATCCCATGGACAACTCACTTTATGTCTTAGAGAACAATGTTATTTTACGGATCACAGAAAATCATCAAGTTAGCATTATTGCTGGACGCCCCATGCACTGCCAGGTTCCTGGTATAGACTACTCTCTTAGCAAACTGGCTATTCACTCTGCACTTGAATCAGCCAGTGCCATTGCCATCTCACACACAGGAGTTCTTTACATCAGTGAGACAGACGAAAAAAAAATTAATCGGCTACGCCAGGTAACTACCAATGGAGAAATATGCCTTCTTGCAGGGGCAGCTTCAGACTGTGATTGCAAAAATGATGTCAACTGTAATTGCTATTCTGGGGATGATGGGTATGCCACTGATGCCATCTTAAATTCACCATCTTCCTTAGCTGTGGCCCCAGATGGTACCATCTACATAGCTGATCTTGGAAACATCCGCATTAGGGCTGTCAGTAAAAACAGGCCCATTCTTAATTCTTTTAACCAATATGAAGCTGCATCTCCAGGAGAACAGGAGCTGTATGTCTTCAATGCTGATGGGATTCACCAGTACACTCTCAGCCTTGTTACCGGGGAGTACTTGTACAATTTCACCTATAGCAGCGATAACGATGTCACGGAGGTGATGGACAACAATGGCAACTCCCTGAAGGTCCGTCGGGATGCCAGTGGGATGCCCCGCCATTTACTGATGCCGGATAATCAGATTGTCACGCTGGCTGTTGGCACTAATGGTGGACTCAAGCTAGTCTCAACACAGACCCTGGAGCTCGGATTAATGACATATAACGGAAACAGTGGTCTCTTAGCAACGAAGAGTGATGAAACAGGATGGACAACATTTTATGAGTAAGAATGTTTTTGGCTCTATTAAGCGTACATTTATTTTTCAAATGGTAGCGAGTAGGCCCCGAACTGACCCTACAGAAATCTGTTGTAGGCTTTTCACTGATGCTGAATAAGGCCATGACGACTCAGTCTAGTTTGATGCTGAAAATTATTAAGTGGCTTCTTGATTTCATCAGTTTTTGCCAGGTCCCTTGGGTGGGTACCAGACCACTTTAATTTCTGCCCGCAGTATGAGGCTTGTGGGGACTCTCACCCACTTCCAGCACAAAGGACTGTGTGCCACCTTCAGAAACCCATGTTTGATTTACGAGACTGGGCCCCTGCTCTTAGTCGTTATCAAGGCTGTAGATAACTGGCACTCAGACCAGCCCCCAGCAACCCACAGCTCCTACTGAGCTGCCTCTGCCTAGGAACCCTAATGCTGCAGGTTCTTTTGGAGCTCAAGCTAGATATCTGCTGTTCAGACTCATATATTACTCGTGGTTGTTAAAATGTTGATTAACTTCAGTGATTGTTCATTCTTGAGGCAAGCGCGGAGATTAGATCCCCAGCTAGCTGCCAGAACCCCAGTGTAACTTTGTAGATAGCCTGGAAGCACACTGGTGTTGGTGACCATATGGATTAGAAAAACAGAACTTCCTCTTTAAATGCAATTCATCAGAGATCAAGTTCAAGAGTATATTAAAAACCTAGAAAAAACAGTCACATTTATTAATAGTTACCCTGTTCTTACTAGTCCTATTGCCATGTATTGATCAAAACAACTTTAAAAATAGAAACAAAAACATATATTGAAAATATATATATAATCTTTAAGTACATCGAGTCTGATGCCATAGTTAATTAACCATTACTAAATACCATTGCTCAAATTAGCGGGTAGAAAGCATGAATAGGGCTTTATATTTAATTTTAAATTGGAAGCTCATTTTTAAGGCTACAGACCAGCACTGATGCGCACGTAGTTTAGTTTACTAATGGATTCATCTTTTTTTTAGAGGAAACGTAAGTAATGCAGGAATAAAAAGAACCTCAGAATGTATCTAAATCAGCGCGGTACATCAGTGTTGTGTCCAGCGCCTTTTGTTCCCGTAGAAAGGAAAGCAGTGCCCTCTCGTGGTCCCCTCCTGGTGCGGCCCTGGAATTTCAACCACTGATTTTCCCGTCGCTGAGTAGATACGTGGAGGGTTTTTCTCCTTAATATTGTGTAAAGAGTATTTCTTTACCACACCTCAATTAGAAAAATAACCCAGAAATGTGAACACAGGAAGGATTTAGCTGCTGATTGCAAGATCAGGAAAAACCTCTCTGTACTGGACCATGGAAAAATCTCACATTATTGCTGATGAGATGTTGATGCCCTTCTAGGTGGGATTTTTGTTGTTGCTTTTTCTTCAGTAGCTAGGCCAAGTGTCAGATCAGAAGTCACATAGACTAGCTGTTTCTCAAAATACCAGTAATTAATTGTAGCAAAGGAAATGGCAGTGTATCTTCAAACTCTATCTGAAAACAATGAAACATTAAAAAATACCATCAGAAGGTTACAAGTTACCAAACTGGTGTAACTGGTGGCTGAGAATTACACGAAGTACTGAGCTAGCATGATTTGTTAGAAGAATTGTGCTCTGATCGCTAAGGAAGTGTAGAAGGTGGGTGCTTTGATGTCTTACTGAAGTACAGCTGAAAATACAATTTAATGTGTTTATAGTGCTGACATGTTGACTAGATTCTTTTCCAAGATCAAGTAAGAAAAGATGTTTGACCCTTGCCTAGGTCAGAGGAAGTTAAGCACCATACTTGGGTCTAAGGGATACACCTGAGGTACTGCCTTAGGTGATGACTGGCATTGATGAGGCAGTGGAAATAACTTCCTTTCTGCCAGATTTGTACATATATTCTCATAAGCATAGAGCCCATAGATGAGAGGATAGTAGAATCCTTTGTGCATTAAAAGAAGAAAAGACATAATATGCCATTCATGAAGATGTTAAAAGTAGATATGTATCTCTGTATGTGAATGGAAAACCCTATGCAAGGACAAGAAGTTAGCTATATGCACTGGAGATACTCATTACAGAAAAACAGAGGCATGTCCTTCAGGCTGATCCTAAGCAGCTGACTTAGAGTAATTCTGTCATATGTCATATGTCATGTACCCCCACAGTTGAGGGGTTTATTAATAAAATTATGAGAATTATTTAAATCAAATTAAAAAATCTAAATAGTCGCAGTCCACAGCCACTTAATTCTGGTTTCTGTTTTTTCATCAAAGTAGTTCCAAGGGGAAAATTCTATGTTCATCACTATGCAATTTATTTTGGTAGGTATAAGTTACTGTCAATAGAAGATGAAAGAAATACTTGGCCAGTTGAGAGTTTATAAGGACAACAAAATAGTTTTCTGTGCCATTACATTCATGCATTCATACAGAGATAATCAATACCCCAGATACAGCCAAAGAACTGGAAAAGAATAAATGTTTTTTGAATACTAAAATACCACATAAATGAAAGTTCTTATGAAAAATGTACTTTGGTGTATTTATATCAACCAGCCACTGAAGTGCTGTGCTATCTTATTGGGTTCTTTCTTTTTTTAATCTGAAGCTGTACCCTGAAAATGCTCACATAATTGAATTCATGGAGTATATCCAGGTATGCATTGAATATGTGGAGAAATGCATACACTAACTGGTTTTATGTATGTGCATACACACTCATGCATGTATTATACATACAGTGCATGTGTATATGCACGCAGTTCATCTGCAGTAGGAACAGGCAAGGCTGTTAAATAATGTAACAGCTATCAGCAGGCTCACATGGGGTAATTTAAGCTTGATTTTGGGCATGAAGCACATATATTTGAAGTGATTCTCAGTGGTATTCCACTTAGTTTTGGGAACATCCTAAGAGAGTGCTGCAGTTTTCTTCTTGAGTCAGCTTGGGGTTTATAAGGGAGAGAAAATAGGGATGTATGTAAATGCATGTGATCTGCACCTTGGCCTGCTCTATGTTAAGTCAAAACTGCTGTTACTCCTTTCTGCAGTACTGTATAAGGCACTGTCCTGGCTACTCCCACCTACAAGCTGTCCAGCTGTACACGTCCCAGACCTCAAAGGTTGCCAACAGTAAAAATTGCCTAAGATACAGAGGTGCCATAATACTGGCCCTGGGTGCACTATCACAAACCTGCTGAGGGACGTGTGGGTCGGGTATCTGTAGCTCTGTGAGGAGGTGATGCATAAGTGCTCAGCATGTCTCGCGGTTGACCTGTAGCCGTGCCTGGTGGCCCGGCACACAGCGGCTGCAGGGGCTGGCTCCGAGCCGCCGGGCTCCCAGGCACTGTCTCCAGGCTGCAGGCACCATCAGCCAACAGCTCCTGTGTCTGCCCGGGTGCCAGTGGCTGGTGTCACCCAGAGCTGCCCTGGCAGCCATGGTCCTGGAAACCTTGGCCTGCTTGGGCAGACTTGGTTGCAGTTAGCAAAGTGTTGGCAGGTTAGTGGTGGGCACTGGGAGATCTTTGAAGATACTGGGCTTAAGAAAGGATCTGTCCCCTTGTGATTTTATTAGTAGAAAAACTCAGGATGAAACCTTCCTCAACTGAAGCTCAGGAATTTCAGTGTATCCAGAACCCACCTCATCTGAAAATATAAAGGTCACCTTACCAGATCTGATTCAGCTAGCCTGATGCTGTGTCATACACTTTGACATGTAGTGGCTGCTTCTGAAGAAGATACCAGAAGCCCCAGGTCCATTAGTATATTTTCCATTGCAATTTTTTTTTGTTTACTTCATTAGACCCAGGTTCATGTCATAAAGAAATGCATACATATCATATATGGTTTATAGCCATTAAATTCCCATATAGCTTTATTCTCATTATTCAGTTAAACGTCTGGGTGTTGGGTTCTACTAAGCACTTGCGCTCACAAAATACATAAATTAAAAGAAAGCCTCAATAATATGTCACTTTAAATTTGTGGTACAGAAAAGGTTTCGGTTTCATTCATTTTAAAGTTTTTACCTTAAACTTATGTTTTTTAAGCAGGATTTTATTGATGCCATGGATAAAGTAAAAAAGCCTTCATTATACATTGTTATTGCAGTGTGTATATAGAGTTTTAAGTAGTGGATTATGTCTAAATCGCTTAATATATCATTTAAGTAGTGAATATATCTGCTATTAAGCCAAGTGGTCTGCAGACCTTCCTAGAGAGCACTTGTTTAAGCGGGTCCAGCACTTGCTTATAAACCTTTTAATCTCTGCCATTGTGGAATTCAAATATTGTGCCCAGCCCTGGGGAACATGCCCCATGGTGGGGGCAAACCACTGACTTCTAGAAGCAGCATCAGAATATTGCAATGTTCCTGTTTCAGGCTCTGCACATCCTCATCCATATTTACTTTCTAGATTGCCCTTGCACTTTGAACAGAGATCTCCAGTGAGTAGCCCACAGCAATCCCCAGGAAGTTTTCCTGGGTTAATTAAAAACCCAGCAATGTGAATGAGGAGTTTAAATGAAGGTCTCATTTGCATTGCCTAAAATATATTTGCTGATGGGGAATTTCAGCCTCCATTTTGGTGGATGTTCACCAAGCTCTGCATAGTCACGCTGAAGCACTCATGGCCCTTTGCTAGTTTTTCCTAAATAACATTGTCTCTTCTGTAGTATTTGACATCTAAGTATTCTCTTCACCACTCTGCTAAGCACTAAGCATATCCAAGTATCCATATACAGACTATTATGGTATATCCCATTTTTGAAACTGTCCAATTTTTGTCCTTTTTGGTTTTCCTTGCTAGACTGGATCAAATTCTTCCCTAGTCCTTATTTTACAAGTGCTTTCAGCAGTTTTTGATAAAGACTCTTACACAAACTTAACCAAACGCCCTTCCTAGATTTTCTCAACATTTTATCTCTTATCTAGTATGTTGTCTATATGGTAAATAATACCAACTATATAAATACATATATATACATATATGTGGATATAAACTTGTGACTTTTATTAAGAAAAGTCGTGCTGCTTAATCTTTTATTTGATCCTGAACTGCTTAATTAAACACAATATATTATTGTTCCCTTTTAGGTTGCATGATGCTTTGTTTTATTGATTTACTTCTTTGCCTAACACTTCCAGGGGTTCTGGTAAGGCTTGTTGCTCCACAGGTGATTTTTTTCCTTCCTCCTCAATATTCAGTTGCATGGGTGCAACCATTTGCAATGGATTTGAAAGGCATACTTGATATGGGTATTAACTGAGAAGCCAATTTGGGTATTCATTTTGAGATACTTTGAGGTTTCTGAATGATGTCATTGTAAAGTCATGTTGAAAGCACTGATTCTTCTTCATCTTTACAGCTAACCACGACGTACAAAGAACTCAGCTAGCTCCATGGTACTAAATGTGCTCCTCTTCTCTTCTGTTACTCTCAGGCAGTGCAATGGATTTACCAGTTCTCTTCCAGGCTCCTCGCACCCTGGATTTCTACGTTCCAAGGATGACCAGTTGGTTTCAATCTCTACCTAAACTTTTCCCTTTAACTACACAGGACATTTTTTCTTGCCTTTCTGCTTCTCAGAAGTATGTGCACTTTGGTAGCAGCTGGGTGAGAGACTCTTGCACAAGTAGAGATTGCATCAAGCAGAGTGTCAGACTGCAATACTGATTTTGTTTCAGGTCCCTATTTCTTGCCCTTAAGATCCAAGGGATTGCTTCTTTAGCACACAAATACAGCATTCTAAGGGAAAGGGAGAAACATACCATTTGATTTCAGGCAGCATTCTTTCTTTCCCCCTCCTCAGGTTTTATACCTCTAAATAAATGTAACTCAATGATCTCATGGAGAGCCCTTTTTCTTGTATTTTTTTTTTATCTCTATGCCTCTGGAGCACTTAACTCATCTTCTCAGGTATATTCTGAGTGCTGACTGCTGCCTTTTGTGCAACTCCACCTTATCCTGTGCTTTAACGTCTCATCATCCATTATTATGAGCCAAAATACTGACCCCAAAATGCTGTTCAATACCACAGATAAGATCTAAATTAAACCCTTATGTTCTCAAGCTAATGTCCTTTTTAATCTCTTTTAGCAAGTTTATTCCTTGATATGTCACTTAAGACCTCATGTAGTAGTTTCCACTAAATATTCAATTGCAAACATGCAGTCAATGCAATTGTATATTGTAGTATCCATCGTAAGCCCACTTCCTTAGAGTGAAATGCTACCATTAAAATTCAAATTAATTTACTAATTAGAATTGTTTGAGCTGAATATCGCTCTATATATCGTAATAATTTAATTATGACATTTGTGTAGTTGAGATCAGTATCACTAAAAATTATTATTTAATCATTTTAGACTCTTTCAAGAACAGAGCAATAGGTATGGCCAGGATGTTCTTGAAAACCTGTTTCATTCTGGGGTTTTTTGCACAAATGTGGTGCATTAGTAATACATTGGGTATTGAAATGAACATATATCCTCATGCTTTTTGCTCTCACTAACTTTTCTATTAGCTATGATCATGAAGGGCGTCTGACCAATGTAACACGTCCCACTGGAGTGGTAACTAGCCTTCATCGAGAGATGGAAAAGTCTATTACCATCGACATTGAGAATTCTAATCGGGATGACGATGTCACGGTCATCACAAATCTCTCCTCTGTGGAGGCTTCCTATACAGTTGTTCAAGGTACCAAAGCACACTTCTCAGCACATCTCCTAACCACACACACCACTTGAGAAAGCAATTTGCAAAAGATTTGTGTCATTAGGACAGTTATGAGCAGGGGAAAAATGTAACAAGTTTGCAAGAAAAACTCCCCTAAAGCTCATTCCTAAAATAGCAGGTCTGCAGGACAGGTAAGAGACATTTCACAATCATGCTTTGTGTCAACTATGTCTGGTTGTTATCTGCTGGTGTCAGGCCTGCTATTGCCTCTTGGGTCAGGATCACTTTACCCACTCAGATATTTCTTTGTATTTCACTGCAAAATTGGTTCTGACTTTGGTGCCACAGAGATGCACGGTGACTGCCGAGTGTCAGCTGCCTGGGGAGAGATCCTTGTGGAGAGACAGGCTCCGGTGGCCTCCTACTATTAGACGTGGAACCTGCCAAATTTATAAACTACCATTAAAGAAAATTCAAAACAATCAGGGTGGTGGATGCTCTTGACCCATGGTTAGCACTTCTGAGAACAGTGTTACAGCCCAAGTGTGGCAGGAGAGAGCAGCAGCAAAGTGGTGAATGCTTGCTTAACGCTTTCCAGCACCGCCCCAGCATTGGTTCCCATGAAGTGAAAACAGTCAGTTATCAAAGACTGAGAGGAGTTTGGTGGGTGATGGGTGTTTCTAAGTAAGATATAATGTCACTGGAATGAGAGTATCATCGTCGAGCAGTAGTCTTCTCCTGACATAAATGTCAGCAGTTATAGACTATTATACTGTCACATGCCTAGTTACAAAGACTATTTCTCTTATACCAGATGATTAATTATGTAGATGTTGTCCTTCTGTCAGACAAACGTTGGTGCTGTGGTGACAGTTGCACACCGTAGCACTCCGTCCTGGCGGAGAATGGACTTGGCTGTGTCAAAGAGCTGGAGAACTGCATGGCCAGAGCAGTATGGGGCCAAAAGGCCGGTTGTGCTGCTGGTAGGGTGGCAGGACAGCAGGCAGGGAAGGGACTCCCAGCTTGCATTGCTGGAGCCTCACACCTGGAGGATTTAAAGTCAAACACTGTAAAAGTCCTTCCTTGGAGACAATTTTTAAGCAGAGGGAAAGAAAAACAAGAGTCACTTACTTCTTCCCGCTCCTAGAGTCCAGCAGTCTTCTTCTTTTACCCCTTTCTGTCCTGGAGTTTGATGGTTTGTTATTCATCCACCAGTTCAGTTTTCGGGAGTTTTTGTTCATATTAGAAATAAATTAAGTTGTTGAAAGCATATCACTGTGCATTTTGATTCATAATTAAAACTACAGGGAAAACCTAATGAAATAAACACAGTATCTCTCTGCAGGCTCACTGTTGCACTACTGTTCTTTACATGAATCAGTAACATCTGTAATTTCCACCATAGTACCACGTAAATGGTAATTGCAGGCTGACTTCATTTAACATCAACAGGAGTGCAATAAAAACCCAATCAAATTAAGCTATATGTTTTCTTTATGACTGGAGTAGCTAAATTATTTTCTTTTCATTATTGCTGTAGATCAAGTGAGGAACAGCTACCAGCTCTGTAATAATGGTACTTTGAGAGTGATGTATGCCAATGGCATGAGCATTAGCTTTCACAGCGAACC